CATTTCGCTGACTATATATTATTTATTACTGAACATACCAATACAGCATTTATTCAACTAACTGTTTTCACCTTCAACAATTAATGATTTTGTTCATAGTTCACAGACCTTGGCAACAGATTCTTGAGGGTTTTTTCACGAACCAGATGCAATTTTGGTTTTACCAGACGTGGTTCTTCTGGTATCAGAATTGGTTTTACCGTTATTGTGTTATGGTTTCGTAGAGCCAACTGTTGTGCCAAAAATTCAAACATACTTCGCTCAAACTGTGTTGTACCGATTAGAAACAAAAGTATAGTAACAGATTCTACTGTTTGGAAAAACATAAAAACCACATAAAGCAGAAGCATGTCTGCCCTGAAAAAAGAATATAAGAATTTTAGAAAAATGATCATAAACTCAACGAGTGCAATAATGTCGTTCAAATTTTTAACATTCAAAATTTTACCATAAAAAGATTTTTTTTTATAAAGGCAAACAAAAAAGAGTTTTAGCAACTCTTCAGGAAAATTTAGAAAACATTTGAGAATTGAAATAAGCTACGTTCAGGTTGGAAGCGTACAATAAATAAATTTTGGCTAAACATTATTCAGTCGTTTCAAACAATTATTACTGATTAACTGCGAACCAGAAAAAACAAAAAATCTATACATTTATCAAATAAATTGAAACCAAACAAAAAGAAAAAAAGTTTATTTGACCAGAGAAAAAAACATTTGTTCCGTATTGAAAATTCTGATAACAATAAAAACACTCAGAAGCAGGTGTTTCCAGCGCTAAATATCTTTACTGCATTAAACAAAAACCAAGTCAGAAGCATCATTGGTTAGAAAAAACAAGAAAAAAAAATAAAAATAAATAATAAATAGTAAGTAAAGAGAAACGGCGGTTAAATATTATTAAAAAAAAAATGATACTAAGGAAAGTTTCCAGTTTTTTGCATGATTGCATATCTGTAGACCTAACAAGAAAAGAAAAAATTAATCATTTCTACAACTTCAATGACTGTAAGATAACAAGCAGATGAACAAATCTTTTTTTTTTTATTAAGACCTTTAAATAATCAAAATAAAAAATTGGCAAAATTTAAATTGAAATTTAAAAGATAATAAAGAAGAAAACTGCCTGTTCAACTGGGCTTAAAACGTTCACTTAGGTTGTCATCTAGACAGTTGCTTTGAATAAACTCATTTTCCTCCTTTTTTTGGTCTCTATGGCTAAAAAAAAAACACAAAAATCAGGTGGGATTTTTCCCAGTAAAATTCTACTAGTACTAAAGAAATCTTCAAGTGACTGATTTTTTTCTTTTTCGGGGTAGGGGAGGAGAGATTGCTTTCGGTAGCGTCGCAGTCGTTGCCATTACTGTAAATAATGCTGCAAAAAAACCGGACGAAATAAACACGAGAGGCTACATCCAAGAAAGAAGTTCTTGTTCAATATCGGCGACAAATGATCAGTAAAGGTAGTGCTTGCGGCGCTGATGACAACAATGACACTGAGGTTAATGATGTGACGGTTAGATTTTAGCGATTGCCGCTGATTCAACGACTAAAATGATATTGAAGGGCAGACTATGAATTGCAGAAGAAGATGAAGTGGATGGAAGAGGCCAGATGACAAGACGACGGGTACTATGTCCAAAACGACACAAACTGCTTTAGACTGAACGTTTATTTTTGCTAGGCTAATTGCATTGTGAATGCAATACGGCAAAGCAGCTCTGAAATGGCCGGAACTGAATGGCACTGTATGTGTACCGACTGAACTGAGAGAACCACAGCAATACGGCAAATATAAACACCAAAAATCTTTATGACGACTTGGCAGCATCAACGAGAGGCGGGAGAAGACGGTGATGAAGCCAAGGCTGATGATGAAGGAAAGCTTCAAAGGAACTACGGCAGACCAACGTGTGCAGCCTTGGTCATGATATCTGTAAGGTTTATTGATCCAGTCTTGCTGTGACTTGCTGTTTATTACTTAAGCTCTTAACAAGAAAAAAATCTTGTTTTTTCACTGTTTTATTCTTTCAAATTTTTTTCTCTCTTTATTTGTGTGTTTGGCAAAGAAAAAAAAAAAGAATGAACAGAACAGAATCATTTAAAAAAAGAATGACGAATTTGGTTAGCA